TACACTCAGAGTAGGAAAAAAACATAAACTTACAGGGTTTTGTTTTGTTTTTTACTTAATAATTAACATAGAAGACTTTTGTGACAGAATGTGTTGGGATTTCTTCCCACCACCAGGCAAGTAATTAATTTTGTAGTGGACATTAGCTGAGCATCCTTTAGTGGTTTTTGTTTTTTTTTTTTTCGAGACAGAGTTTCACTCTTGTTACCCAGGCTGGAGTGCAGTGGCTCGATCTCGGCTCACCGCAACCTCTGCCTCCTGGGTTCAGGCAATTCTCCTGCCTCAGCCTCCTGAGTAGCTGGGACTACAGGCGTGCGCCACCATGCCCAGCTAATTTTTGTATTTTTAGTAGATACAGGGTTTCACCATGTTGACCAAGATGGTCTCAATCTCTTGACCTTGTGATCCACTCTCCTCGGCCTCCCAAAGTGCTGGGATTACAGGCGTGAGCCACCGCGCCCGGCCTCCTTTAGTGTTTTTTAATTTTTATTTTTAGAGACAGGGGCTTGCTCTGTCACCCTGGCCATAATGTAATGTTACAATCATGGCCCACTGCAACCTTGAACTTCTGCCTCAGCCTCCCTAGTAGCTGGGACTACAGGCATGCACCACCATGCTGGGCTCCTAATTTAGTTTTACTTTGACACTATCTACTTGGAGATAGTGTCAGGTATCACAGGTTGAGGACGTAGTCCTCCAGACTGCCCCTACCCCAGTAGGTGTCAGTTTTAAGTCTTAGGTTATATGATCTGTCCTTTTAACCAACTGGTTATAAATCAGAAACCCCAAGTCCTCCATTTTGGGTTTGAATAATTTGTTAGAGTGCCTCACAGAACCTAGGGAAACATGTTGATTATAAAGGATATAGCTGAAGAGCTCTGTGGAGTGAGGTCTGGGGAGGGAGACTGCAGCTTTGATGCCCTCTCGGCATGTCACCCTCTGGGAACTTTCGTGTGTTTAGCTCTCTGGAAGTTCTCAGAACTTTGTTTTATGGAGTTTAAATAGAAGCTTTATTTTATGTAGTGGTAATTGATTAAACTATTGACCATTGCTGAGCAACTTAACTTTTAGCACCTCTCCCCGATCCCTGGAGGTTGGGGCAACAGTGTTGGGTACAGATAAAGGTCCCAAGCTTCTAATCTTGTCTTGGTCCTTCGGGTGACCAGCCCCATCTTGAAGCTATTAATACTTAGGGACTGTCAGCTCTCAGTCATCTTGTTAGTATACAAAAAGACATCACTTTGGGGTTTTTAAGGATTTTAGGAGCTATACTTCAGGAAACAAGGTTAAAGACCAAATACATATTTTATAATATCACACCAAGATCATAATTTTGTAAATCAGTGTTTCTCTAGATTTTACTGAGAGGTGAAACCAGTGTATGTAACCCTGACTTGCCCCCTAGATAATACCAGCATTTACACAGAGTTTAGAATACCCTTGTTGAAAACCGATTTCTCAGTAGGTCAGGTCACAGTAGTTTGTTAGCAGGGATAGTTCCTTGTCTTAGAATCACTTCCTCCTACTCTGAAGGGAAACTCAAATGGATTTAGTTCTTCCTAAAAAATGCTGTGCCGTATTTTATCCTTTTTTCTGCTGGCTTATTAATTTTATCTGAAACCCTGTTCTCATTGCTTCAAGATCATTAGTGTCTTTCTCCTTTATTTTTTTAAGATTCTGACACTTTCAAGCATTTCCCAGTTACTGCCAAAGCTTAATGATGAAGTTAAAATATTTGCAGTGTGGTATATAACTTTTTTTTTTTTTTTTTTTTGAGACAGAGTCTCACTGTGTTGCCCAGCCTGGAGTACAGTGGTACAATCTCAGCTCACTGCAACCTCTGCCTCCTGGGTTCAAGTCATTCTCCTGCCTCAGCCTCGCAAAGTGCTGGGATTACAGGTGCCTGGCCCAGTGTGGTATAACTCACTTCCATAGAGCTCTGCAGCAGCTTTTTTTCTTTTCTTTTCTTTTCTTTGTTTTGAGACGGAGATTGGCTCTTGTTACCCAGGCTGGAGTGCAATGGCGCGATCTCAGCTCACCGCAACCTCCGCCTCTTGGGTTCAGGTAATTCTCCTACTTCAGCCTCCTGAGTAGCTGGGATTACAGGCATGCGCCACCATGCCCAGCTAATTTTTTGTATTTTTAGTAGAGACGGGTTTTCACCATGTTGACCAGGATGGTCTCTTATCTCTTGACCTCGTGATCCACCCACCTCGGCCTCCCAAAGTGCTGGGATTACAGGCTTGAGCCACCACGCCCGGCCACTGCAGCAGCTTTTTTTTTTTTTTTTTTTTTTTGAGACGGAGTTTCGCTCTTGTTATCCAGGCTGGAGTGCAATGGCGCGATCTCGGCTCACCGCAACCTCCGCCTCCTGGGTTCAGGCAATTCTCCTGCCTCAGCCTCCTGAGTAGCTGGGATTACAGGCATGTGCCACCATGCCCAGCTAATTTTTTGTGTTTTTAGTAGAGACGGGGTTTCACCATGTTGACCAGGATGGTCTCGATCTCTCGACCTCGTGATCCACCCGCCTCAGCCTCCCAAAGTGCTGGGATTACAGGCTTGAGCCACCGTGCCCGGCCACTGCAGCAGCTTTTAATGAGTTCATATAACTAACAATTTCCTGCTTACTCATCTTAAAAAGTTTCATCTTCATGTGGTCTCTTTTTTTCTTCTGCTGTCCCTTCCTCTTCCTCTTTCTCTTCTTTAAAGCAGCAGGTTGTTTTACTTTTTGATTAGAGTATTTTCACAAGTGGTCACTGTTTTTGAGAAGTCTCCAAGAACTCAGTCAAGATTAGATCACTGTATTTGCTTGAAAAGTCAAGCCTTGGCAGGAGGGTGATTACTGAGGCAGTCTTGTTAGATAAACCTGCATTGCATGTACCATTTCCAAATTTTAGTAGACTAAACTGTGCAGCATTGTTTGAATTTCCCCTTCCAACTCACTCTGGCTATTAATTGCCTTAGGAGATGGGTAGCTGGTTGTTCTGATTGTTATATACCTAGCAGTCTCTGGAGGAAAGAGAACTCAGACCTGGTAACTGAGAGCAAAATATTTATACAGACACAAAAATCGGGGTGGGCAGGAAGGGAGGGTTCTAACTGAAAAAAGGCAGACCAAAAACAGTTTTGACAACTTAAATTTATTGTAACTGCCCAACAAAGGAAGAAGACTTGGAGGTTTATCTGCAAGAGTGGTTTTTTTTTTTTTCTCTAACTCTTAACTCATTATTATTTATTTATTTTTATTTTTTGAGACAGTCTTGTTTTGTCACTGAGCCTGGAGTGTAGTGGTGTGATCTCTACTCACTGCAACCTCCGCTTCCCCAGTTCAAGCAATTCTCCTGCCTCAGCCTCCTGAATAGCTGGGATTACAGGCACCCATCAAATGCCTGGCTAATTTTTGTGATTTTAGTAGAGATGGGGTTTTGCCATGTTGGTCAGACTGGTCTCAAACTCCTGACTTCAGGTAGTCCACTCACTTTGGCTTCCCAAAGTGCTGGGATTATAGGCATGAGCCACTGTGCCCGGCCTTAATTCATTATTGTTAATATTTTTGAGACAGGGTCTTGCTGTGTTGCTCAAGCTGGAGGGTAATGGCATGATCATAGATCACTGCAACTTCAGCCTCCTGGGCTCAAGCAATCTTCCTGTCCCAGCCTCCTGATTAGCTGGGACCACACGTGCATGCTACCGTGCCCGGCTAGTTTTTTGTTGTTGTTGTTGTTGTTTTAAATTTTTTGTAGAGACAGGGTCTTGCAGTGTTGCCCAGGCTGGTCTCAAATTCCTGGGATACAGCCATCCTCCGGCTTGGGCCTCCCGAACTCCTGGGATTACAGGTGGGAGCCACCAGACCTGGCTTAGCTCCACCTTTTAATGAAGAATGATAAGCAGTTTGAAAATGGTGGGGTGGGATTGGAGAAATGCATCATTGTAAAATATTTTTAAACTTGGGCCCCATGTTGAGAGTCGCATGGTTATTCAGAAAAGGATACAGTAGTAGCATTAACCAAGGGAGAAAGATAAGCTGTGGGGAAAGGCCTAGTGATTCAGAGGAGTTGGAACTCTAAACATTCTTTCTAGCTTGTCAGAAACATTTGTGCAGACCTCTGTAAAATACAGAGAAGGAGTTTGTCTACTGATAAAATGAGCGCTGAGTTTACCAACCCTAGGCCTCGGCTCACACCTCCCTGATCCTCGGGAACGCACGTGGAGATGGACGCATTATTGCCTCAGTTAGGCGGACTGCGCTCTGCGCCTCCAGCGGTGGAGATATTGTCCGCTTCCACCTGGCAGGCACATGCCGGAGGCTGGATTTGAACCAAGAGTTATCTGTGTACCCAGCGCCTTTGCTTTTACCCACTAGGCGGTAACGTGATTTCACATCTGAGAGTTTCTTGGCTGAACAAGTTGGAAATCACTGGTTTCAGAGATTGGAAATCGCCGGTTGCACGCCCCTGGATTCTTTCCCCAGATACTCGAGGCCGTTGGTACTGGCCTCGACGTCCCTATCTACGCAGCGCGCAGACACCACGTACCGGGCCCCACTCTCACCGCACCAGCCTACCCCGCTCTCAGGCCTCCCACGGGCGGTGGGAAAAGAGCCTCCGGGCTGACTCTGCACGACGCGCATGGCTGCCAGGGGAAAGTATTGTCCTTAAATCCCGAGCGGCGCTGCGCGTAGGGGAGCGATCTCAGACCGCGGCGGAGCATCCGTGAGCCCCCGGGCTGGCCGCGTTGCGAGGCGAGCGCTAGTCCTGCGAGCAGAGTGGTCACTAAGTCATTAGGAGATTGGCAGGGGGAGTCCTCGGGATCCGAGTCCCGCCGTGCCTCACGCCTCCCTCAGGTTCCTTCCTCACCCCGGGGCTACGCGGACCCGGCCGGGGGAGCCCGGGGGAGGGGGCCGGGACGGTGGGCGCGCGTGCGCGAGCTGTCAGGCTGGCCCCGCCCCCGAGCCCCGCCCCTGCGCCCCTCCTCTCTCGCCCCTCCCCCGCTCTCGGGTGTAGGGCGGGCGGGCGGGCGCTGCGGCGGCCGCGGCTGCTGCTTCCTCGGGCCATTTTGCTGTGGCGCGGCGGGGAGGAGGAGTCGCCGAGGAGACCCCGGGCGAGGAGCTGCGAGCCAGAGGAGGCCGCGCGGGCTCCGGGCTTTCCGCGGTCGCGGGGATCTCGGGGGGCAAAGGGATCGCCGGGGAAGGGGACCGGAGGGCCGCGCCCGCCGCGCGGAGCGCCCCTTCGCGCCCCCTGCACCATGAGCTGGGGCACCGAGCTCTGGGTAAGTGAGGGGCTGGGCCCGTGGGCAGACGCGGGGCGCACGCTGCATTTCCCTGCGGCCTGGGGAGGGGGCACGGATCGTGCTGCCCGGCGGACTCGAGGGCGCGCTGGTCTGGGTCTCCGCGGCCTGGAGAGGAGGCGGTGTCCCCGTGCCCCTCGTCTGCCTTGGCCCGAGCAGGAGGTGCGGGCCGGTTCGTCCTTCGGAGGCAAGGGAAGTTGGTGCGGGTCCCCGGCGGCCTCAGGAGCGGCGCGGGCGGGCCTCCTTGTCCCCGGCGCCCCGGGGCGGGCGGTGTGTGTCGGGCCGAGCCCTAATCCCCCGGGGCGAGTCGCGGATGCCCGGGGAGGGCCGGGACTGGGCGTGGGGGCGTGGAGGCCCCGTCGGCGCGGCGCTGCGTTGGGTCTCTGGGCGCCCCGGCCGCGAGTTCTGTCCTGGCTCCGCAGAGGCGCTGGCGGACCGCGCGCTCCCCCGGGGGCGGGACGGCCTGGGCGGGCTCCGGGGGTCGGGTTTTGGGGTGCCGGGGGGTGGAGTGTGGTCTTGGCTCTGGAGGCGAGGACTTCTGGCCCGTGGCGACTCCGCGTGCACTTGTTCTCTCGGGGTAGCTCGGATCCTGAGTGGGATGGGGGCACTGCGACATCTGATCCGGAGGGGAAAGTAGTGGGAGTTGGGGAGAGATCTTATGTGATCTCCCTCAGGGAGAGGCGTTCTCGAGGTCAGTGATCTTTAACGGTTGCTCGGAGGAAAGAGTTTCCAATGGGGAAGGTTGGCGGCGAGGGGCACCTCGAGGAGATGCTTGGTTGTGGGGGTGCGCACGGTAAACTGGCAGCCCGTGGGGCTGAAGGCGTGCAGGGGTGCCAGGGCGGCGGCGAGGGGGCCGGCTGTGGATGGAGCTCTTTCTCTGCCCTCCGAGGATTCCTGGAGAAATCACTGGGCAGGGGACGGGCAGCGAGGCGGCCCAGGAAGGAGCGGACGAAATCTGTTACTGCACCGAAATGCCCTCAAGATGAGCCATTTCCCAGACGAACTCTGAAGTGCCTCACTACCTTTTGGAATTCTATTTGCAAAGGGTGTGGAGGAGAAAGTGTAGGGTGGTGTTGCTGTCGAGATGAGGCCAAGAAATCTCATGTCAAAATAAAACAAGGTTAGAACAATTACAGAAGCAGAGCGCATCCTCCCTTGTGTGTGTGTGTGTGTGTGTGTGTGTGTGTGTGTGTGTGCGCGCGCGCGCGCGCGCGCTCTCGTTTGCTTTAAGTGTTTTTACATAACCATTTGTTAGGTTCAGAAGCAGCTACGGTTATTATTACCAAAATCCTGAGGGCAATAGCTCCTTTAAATTAAAATCATTCCTTTTATAAACATCTTCTGCCTAAAAGGGATTCATGACAGAATTTCCGCTGATGTTTACAAATATCATTTTGAAAATAACATAGTTTAAAATATTTGCACACACCAATATAGGCAAAAATCTACCACTTTGAGTGCTGTATTGAAGTTTCTCTCCTCTTCTAATCCTTCCACTCCCTTTAGTTGTCTTTAGCTTGTCTGGGGTGGGGAAGCAAATCAGAAGTAATCTTTATCAAGACAGTAGAAATTGTTGCACAATTTTTTTTCACTTGTTCAAACAGGAGAATGAAATTAAGGAGGGAAAGGGTACAAATTATTTCTGAGTGAAATAGGGACGGAACACAATATTCCGTGATGTTAGTGAATGGGACAGAAGATAATCTCAAAGAGAGGGAGTGGCTATGAGCAAAACTGCTAAAACAGCAGCAATTTTCTGCATTATTCTGTACATTTCTTTTTGAGGGTGGAAGAGTGGGAAGGAAGGCAGGGTTAGGAGTGGTTGAAAATAAATGAGAGAGGCGGGATGCAGTGGCTCAGACCTGGAATCCCAGCACCTTGGTAGGTCAAGTTGGGAGGATCACTTGAGCCTAGGAGTTCAGGAACAGCTTGGGCAGTATCTCGAGAAGCCAGCTCTTTAAGAAAAGCAAAAAGAAAATAAATGGGAACTGGGATATATACAAATATAAATGATATGAAAATCTTAGATTTACTTCACAGTAATTTGGGTTGTTAGTAGATGGGAGATCGTGAAACAGAGTTAGCCGTTGCTGAAGCCAGGTGCTTGGTACAGAAGGGTTCATTACACTATTCTTTGTACTATATATATTTGAAATTTTCTACAATAAAAATTGGAAATTATTTTTAAAGAAGAAGTGTGAACTATTTGTAATTTTTTCACTTGATAATTTTATGAGGAAGAATGAATCAGTTAACAGTTCTGTATATGCAAGTGTATGGCAATGAGGAGTTTTAAAAGACTTTTTTTTTGAGATGGAGTCTCACTCTGTCGCTCAGGCTGGTATGCGGTGGCATGACCTTGGCTCACTGCAGCTTCTGCATCCTGGGTTCGAGCGATTCTCCTGCCTCAGCTTCCCAAGTAGCTGGGACTACAGGTGCCCACCACCATGTCTGGCTAATTTTTTTGTGTATTTAGTAGAGATGGGGTTTTGCCGTATTGGTCAGGCTGGTCTCAAATTCCTGACCTCAGATGATCCACTTGCCTCAGCCTCCCAAAGTGCTGGGATTACAGGCGTGAGCCACCATGCCTGTCCTTGAAAAAAGACATGAGTACCAGCATTTGCCTTTGAGTAGTTTATAGTTTAATATACGGAAAGGAATGAACACATGATTGCACTACTAACAGAAATGCAAAATTGAAGTTTTCAGGTGAAATGCAAAGATGTATAAGACCTAGTAGCTTTTGAGATTAAAAATACTAGAATAATGAAGGATTGTAAAAAGCAAGTCCCAGTTTCTCCCGTGGCCAGAGACTTGATGATGTGTGGTGCATGGGTAGCCCAGCGGAGGGCAGTGATTAAGGGTTTTCCTCGAATGGTGGCTTTGGAATCATGCACATGTATAATGAGATAATGATGGGGCGGGCGCTAAAGCCGAACTTGGCAGAATTATTCTTCTAGATGGAGAAAGACAGAGCTATGGTTTGGGTGGCCATGAGTTATTTGTAACAGGTGGTTGCAGCTTTCAGGGACTTTCACAAATGCTATTAGATTTTACATACATTTTAGGACTTTAGGTTAACGTCAACATAGGCTTTTACCAGCTAAAGGTTTCTAGTGTGCATTTTACATTAAAGGCCTACTCCTAAGCCACATCCTGCTTTGTAGAGGGAATACAACCTTTCTCTTCCTCTTTCTTTTTCACTTTTTTTTAAACCCCTCTATAGAAATAAACTTTCTTCTTCTTCTTTTTTTTTTTTAATTTTTTTGAGATGGACTTTTGCTCTTGTTGCCCAGGCTGGCGTGATCTCACTGCAACCTCCACCTCCTGGGTTCTAGCGATTCTCCTGCCTCAGCCTCCCAAGTAGCTGAGACTACAGCTGTGCGCCACCATGCCTGGCTAATTTTTGTTATTTTTAGTAGAGATGGGTTTTCATCATGTTGACCAGGCTGGTCTCAAATCCTGACCTCAGGTGATCCGCCCACCTTGGCATCCCAAAGTGCTGGGATTACAGGCAGTGAGGCACCTCGCCCAGGCTTAAATGGCCATTTTGAAGTGATTAAGTTATAATAAAATAGTTTACAGCTCTTTACAACATTGCCTTTTAATCAGTTTTCAATTTTTTTTTTTTTTTTTTTTTTGAGACGGAGTTTCGCCCTTGTTACCCAGGCTGGAGTGCAATGGCGCGATCTCGGCTCACCGCAACCTCCGCCTCCTGGGCTCAGGCAATTCTCCTGCCTCAGCCTCCTGAGTAGCTGGGATTACAGGCACGTGCCACCATGCCCAGCTAATTTTTTGCGCTTTTAGTAGAGACGGGGTTTCACCATGTTGACCAGGATGGTCTCAATCTCTCGACCTCGTGATCCACCCGCCTCGGCCTCCCAAAGTGCTGGGATTACAGGCTTGAGCCACCGCGCCCAGCCAGTTTTCAAAATTTTTATTGAACAACTACTGTGTGCAGGACACCAGCCTGAATCTATTGTAAGTCACATTGTATACATTGAAAGATAGCTATGTGGAAGCTTATGAAGTAGGTTTTACCTCTAGCCTATAACATCAGAGTCAAAAGAAAAAATTAATGTTTTTAGGTAAGATTAACCAAAATACATTTACTCAAGACTTGTTAAAAAGGAAGTGTTAGTAAGGTAAATATGTTCGCTGACTTGTTGAAGTTGTGGCTGGTTGTGGGAGAAGTGGCAAAGCAAGAGTTGCTTACATTTGGATTTTTTTTTCCTTGCCTGCTTATTGAGGGAAGTGACAGGTTACCGAAGTGTTAGTTCAGCTTTTTATTAGCTTGCTCATTAGTGTGAAGTATGAATAAATCCACTGGAAAGTGAAGCCTGCCTCATAATTATTCTACTCTTTGCAGCTAACAAATTATTCAGTGACAGAACCTGGTTTTGCTGTCTCCTAGTATCCTCCCTGTCATCTTTATTTATTTGCTCTGGTGCTAATGAGAAATGAAGTAGATACAAGGAAGAGAACAGAGAAACGCGAGTGATGCGTATTGGTTAGTATAGTAAGAAGCCACCTGTGTTGCTTGTATGTAATTTTTTTTACCTGTGATTTTTAGAACCATGCCAGGCATATAATGTACATTCGGCTGTTGGATATGTTGGCATTGATCATGGTGTGCACTTTCAAGAGGCAGCCACGTGAGGACTGTCTACCAGGACTGTACTGGAAACAATGCCTGACTCAGTGTAGGAGTTCAGTAAATATTTATTGGATGAATGAATAAATCCCTTTTTTTCCTTTTGTTTTAACATTTGCTTTTTAAAAATAATGGGAAGATAATCATAACACCTTTCTGAACTTTGGCACGTGTGAAAAATATATAATTCTAGGTATGTTTTTGGAAAATAGACTTTATCTTTTTTAATTTTTTTTTTTTTTTTTTTTTTTTTTTGAGACGGAGTTTCGCTCTCGTTGCTCAGGCTGGAGTGCAATGGCGCGATCTCGGCTCACCGCAACCTCCGCCT